CCCTGAAGCCACCTGGTAGCTTGGTCCAACAGCTGTGGCTTCCTCACTGGTGTACTATGGTCTCAGATAGTGTGGCCCTGTGAGCCAAGGCTGACATCTTCCAGCTTCTGTTACTCCGTCATTCTTACATCTCAGCAGTAGGAGTACGGCTGTCTCTGGGGAAGAGGACCTTGAGAGTGCAGGATGAGAAGACCCTGAGGCATTGGTTAGTATCAGGGGCACCAGCTTTCCCAAGGAATCTCAGTGTACTCTCCATACTTAGAAGTCACCCATCAGGAGCTTTCCTGTGGAGTGGTTCCATAGCTTCATGAGATCAGATGGATCAATCTTGAGACCTCTCTTAATCCACAGTTGCCCAACTTAATATTCCAGGAACTGGCAGCCTCAAGTGACTTCAAGGGCCCTCAGATACTTCCTCTCCAAAGAGCCTCTCTTGGGACCCTCAAGGGTCCCTCCTTCTAATTTTCTACCTGCCTCCTACCCACAGGCAAACAAAGGGATAAGATTGGGAACAGGTCGAGGTATCCCTATTGCAGCAGCTATTCCAGGAAGCCCTTGCTCTAGGACCTGCCCAGTCCCTACCTTTTCAATCTGGCCATTCCCTAGAGCATCACCACCCAGGATGTAAACTTGCCAGTGACTGCTGAGCCAAGTTTGGTCTTTTTCTCCAGAGGTCAGGGTCATATATCTGCCAGGTAAGGGCTATAGATCAGTGGATGGGAGACAGATTGCAAACTACCCCACCTGGCAACAACAGTGTTCAGAGATACTTTCCCTTGGCAATAACATGCAAGCACCAACTCCCCAGTAGCTTCTGCTAGTAATCTTCCCTGGCAGCATTCCACTGGGCCAGAAATACCATCTTGAGACACCAGGTGTGATCTAGCCCCCAAATATTTACAAGCAAATTTTATCTCCTCTGGCCCAAAGGACCTTAATTGGTGAAGTTTTGCCCAGGGTATGAATAATGATAATAATAGTAATAACAAACCACTTTATAAAGTGTTTGCTGTATATCAAGTGCAGTGGGGTTTTTTGGTCTTTTTGAGACAGGGTCTCCCTATAGCCCTAGCTGGCCTGGATTCACTATGGAGACCAGGCTGGCCTCAAACTCACAGAGATCTGCCTGCCTCTGCCTCCTGAGTGCTGGGATTATAGGTGTGTGCCACCACACCCGCCTAGCACAGTGGTTTTAAAATTTTTTTATTTATTAATTTTTATTAATATGAGTATGAGTGTATTGCCTGCACCCATGTTGTGCAATGCCCCAGGAGGACAGAAGAGGGTGTTGGATCCCATGGAACTGGAGTTACAGATGGTCGTTAGGCACTACGTGGGTGCTGGGATTCAAACCTCAGTCTTCTGCAAGAACAGCCAGTGCTCTTAACTGCTGAGTCATCTCTCCAGCCTCCTCAAGCAGTGTTTTAAGCATTCCAATTAATCTTCATATCTTCATGGTAACCCTATGAGAAAGGTGTACTCATGTGTGTGTGTGTGTGTGTGTGTGTGTGTGTGTGTGTGTGTGTTGAGAATAACAAATCCTGCATGTGAGGGGAGTGTACCCATGTGTACATGTGTGAAAGACAGAGGTTGATAGATGTCTTCCTCTATTGCTTTCTGCTTTTTTTTTTTTTTTTTTGAGACAGGGCCTTACTATGTAGCCCTGAAACTCATTATGTATATGTGGACCAGGTTGGCCTCTAATTCACAGAGATCTGCCTACTTCTCCCTCCAGAGTGCTGGGATTAAAGGTGTGTGCCACTACACCCAGCATCTACCTTATATTTTGAGAGAGACTCTCATGGAACCTGGAGCTTGCTGTTTCAACTAGACTGGCTGGCCAGTAAGTCCCTGGGCTCTGCCTGCCTCTGATCCTCCACCCTCCAGCACTGAGGTTACAGACATGTACAGCCTTACCAGGCTTTTACATGGGTGCTGAGTATCCAAATTTAAGTCACCATGCTTGTGCAGTAAGCCTTTTACCTACTGAGGTATCTTCCCAGCTCTTGAACAATTCTCCTGCCTCAGCTTCCCAAGTGCAAGGATAAAAGGCATGCACCATCATGTCAGGTGCTGGGGCTTGAACCCTGGGCCTTTGTACATGCAAGGCAAACACTGTATCAACTGAGACCTTTGTAAGTAACTCTGCTTCTCTACTTCTAGGAAGCTCAGGGGATTCAGAGGTTCCTTGGGGAGCATGCTAGGGCATATAAAAAACACCCAATGGCAGCTTGTATGGACACAGAGAAGTGCAGAGCAACACAGGGAGATCGTAAGCTCATTTTTTCTTAGCTATGAGGCTGAGCCAGTCCTAGAAAGGGCTCTAATGGCCAGGATAGTCCCACCACCGAGCTGTCTGCCCCATAGGCAGAAGTGGTCGTGAAGAATGGGCCCAGGTCCCTGCTCCAGGTTCCTGAGGCTAATAGAATTAGTGAGGTTGCCAGAGCCTCAACAAAGCTCCTTAGGGTCCAGGCTTGGTGGTGTGGGGATGAAGAGATAGAAGGAATGCCCAAAAGGACTAATGGAATCATGTAGTCAGGACTATAGATAACTAGAGGATAACGGCCAAGTTCATCATCAGAACAAGGGGCCTGGCAGTGGGTTTATAAAACCTAATCCTCAATTCTCTTCTTTTAAGCATTGGGGTAACACCCCCCCTTAGTACTATAAGAAGTACTATAAGAAGTAAATGACATAGCATATATGACACAAAAGCATTTAGCACAGTGCTTGGCCAGTATATGGTGAGTTTTGGTAACTGGGAGCTGTTGTATTAGCAGCTCTCTGATGCAGCTGATGGTGGATGAGTATCTCTATGGTGTGTTACAGGGTTCTGCCCTGTACACGGACACAGCTAAAGCTGCAAGAGGCAAATTGGATCTAAATTTAGAGTGAGAGAAAACAGTGGGCAATGGAGCTGGAATTCAAGACAATTTCAACAGGCAAGATCACATTATTCTACTGTGAACTTGAAGACATTACACAAAGCAGAGGATGGGGGAGAAACCTGACTTGACCCCAGCTCCAGTGCAAAAGATCTGAATGATTTAGTTAACCACAACCTGATGGGAACTAATCACGGGAGAGAAAGACTCTGAAGCCTAGCAGTCTTAGGATGCATTAACAATGTGTCGTGTCCAGACTGGGGGAAATAATAGGCCTATTGTGCTGGCTTGGTCAGGCCATATCTGGAATCTTGCGTTGCTACACTGACAGACTGGAAACAGGCCAGGAAGGGGACTAGTCCAGCCTTAGCTCCCAAGCCCTTGTGCTAAATGCTTCCTGTGCAGTTTCTTGTCTTATTCCCTAAAAAACCACATTAGTTAGGTCCTGTTAATGTCCTACTTTGTATATAGGGAGGTTAATGGAGTTGTCCAGGATCAACCATATGACTGGTACACAAAGGTACCTGGGGCTTTTCTGAATGGGTTCTTCTGGTGCTTATACACTCACTCACTATACACATATTCTCTACAATGTAAGTCCCTACAATGAATCAGGCTGAAAGCTAGTTTAGTGGGATATGGAAGTGAATAGTTTTCACTTTCAAAGAATGATGACTTGTGGAATGGTGTGAGTCAAGGAGTAAAGTTAGGGCTGGAAAGGTTCACAGAGGACATCTTAGCCAAATCAAGCCCAGAGGGAGGAAGAGGGACAGGACAGTGTCACACAGCTCATGGTGAGGACAGACCAGTGCTGTTTTCTCAAGGCATTCACTTGGCTTGCTTCTGTCTGTGATGTGCCCAGATGAGATCTGCCAGGGAACATCAGGGGGCTTGGTGTGGCCATCATGGTGGAGTCAGACCTCAACCTCTCTTCCCCACAATTTGAATTTAAAGAAAGAAAAAAGGAGCCTGACACAGAAAAACACAGGACTTGGGGTCAGTGGCCTCTGAGAGTCCCAGCAGCAACTTACTGACCAAGGAGAGCTGGACTCCACCCAGGCTGCTGAGGATCTGGGCAGACTGGGGTGTCGCTAGCACAGAGAGAAGAAAAGGCTCTTCTTTGCTGGCATCTGTGTCTAGCCTCCGTTCCAGATTAATGTCTTTCCATCGTCTTTCAAGGACCACATTCCTCCGGGTTACTCTCTTTTTCAAAGATTTCCTTGACTGTTTCAACCCAGAGGGCCAGTTGGGGCCTCCCATCTCCCAGGGCGTCTTGTCGGGGGGCGGGGGGGTCAGCTTTCTCTAATTTATGCTGAGGGACAGAGAAGGGCAGACAAGAGCAAAGCCTCGGGAACTGGACAAAACCTTCCCGGCCTGATTCTGTCATAACAGCTGCTCCTCTTCTCTGAGTCCCCCTTTCCTCGGCTGTAAAATGGGGATAATAATAGTACGACCCTCAGATGGAATTGGTGAGCACCCAATGAGATCATGTTAAGCGTGCACGAAGCTATCCATAAAAGGCTGGCCGTGGCCACGGCTCCTTTCTATAACTTGAGAGCTTTCTATAACTGCCGGAAGGGGCAACCACTGGATTGGCTCAATTTTCCCGTTCCATTGAGAAAGGACCCTGAAATATCAAAAGCAAGAAGAGGAACCGGCTGATTTTGATAGAGGAGGGAGGACACTGGTAGTGGGAGTGGCAACCCAGCGTCTCCAGGCTTGGGGGAGGGGAGAGGCCACCTGACTCTAGATTTTAAATGGGACAGCGGGCCTCTGAATCCCCATCTTTCTCAGGCCTAGGGATTCAGAAGTCATGGGCTTGCAGGCTCCACTCAGGGAGAACTCACTCTGGGGGACCTCGAGCAGGTCACTTACAGTATTGAACCTCAGTTTCCTGGCGCGAGTCAGGTGTTTTTCTCAGCCTGGCTTAGGCTGCGAGGAGCACGCGTAGCCGGATGCCGGCTGGGAGAACGTGGCTGAACTACAAGGCTCGCCTGGGCGTGTGGGGCCGGCGGGTGCCGCGATTGGCTGGAGGCGGGGCCGCCGAGCTCAGGGATTGTCTGGATCCAATAGGGCAGGGCCGAACCTTTAAGAGGCGCGGAGGGGGCGTACAAGGGAGTTTGCCTTGCCTGCGTCCCGGGTTTGCCAAGTGCCGGGTGACCGTGGCGGCAACGACGGGAGCGCGAGAAGAGTGGGGGCCGGCGGGGCAGAGGAGCATCCCGGCGTCCCGGTCCTAGACGGCGTGGCCCGCGGGTCATGGCCAAAGGAGAGGGCGCCGAGAGCGGCTCCGCGGCGGGGCTGCTCCCCACCGGCATCCTCCAAGCCAGTGAACGACCGGCCCAGGTGAAGGTGAGGACGCAGCACCCAGAGTGGAAAGCAAGAGGGCTGGAGGGTGGGCAGGCCAAGATGGGGGTACGCGGGGTCGGAGATTAGGCCTGGTTCTGGGACACTGGAGGGTAGCCGGGCACAGTCAAGCCTGGAAACAGGAGACCCGAGGGTGCTGAGGACCCGAGAGTGATGGGGAAACTCGGTAGGCGCGGGCGCCCCCCACTGCTCATTCCCATTCTTGGTAGCCGCCTGGAGCCGGACCAGCTGCTCCACGTGGTGCCGGGCTCTCCTTAGCTGCTCGGGGTTCCTCTGTGCTGAGTCGCGCTGGCTTACCTTCCTAGATCCGGAGACTCCAGAAATCTCTCACCCCCATCTCACCCCCAGCGCTCCCACCCCCACCCGCCTACTCTCACGCCTCAACTCCAAGGAGGGCCACTCAAGTTCATTCATAAGAACAAGGGCTCTGCTCTTAAAGGAGCCGCATGCCGCCAGCGTTTGTATGAATGTGAGGGGTCTGGTGCACAGAACTCTCAACCCTCTCACTGTCCCGGCCCCAGCTAGCCCTGTGGAACTATTTAACGACCCCATTGAAACCATGCAGCCCCAAGAAGGAATCTTTGACAATAGATATCTACATGGGAGGTGCCCGCCTTTTCCTTTTAATTTTATTAACTGATCCTTGGAAAGAGCGAGTGAGCAATTATGCTGTTACCATGTATGACTAATCTCTACTTTCCCTGGGCAACCTCAGCCCCCCTAGTGCTCCACCGGGAGAGGTCTGAGCCCTGCACCTGGAGCCCTTTCCACTCCCCTTCAAGGTTCCCTAGGAGCTGGAAGGAGTGTGTGTGTGTGTGTGTGTGTGTGTGTGTGTGTGTGTGTGTGTATGAGGGTAGGACTGCTCATGGGTTTGCCTGGAGCTTGAAGACTGCCTACAGGGACCTGAGAGCTCTAGGACTGGATGGAAGGAACAGCTGTGTCTGCAGCTGGTTGGTCTGCCCCCCACCCCCACCCCCCAGCTCTTTAATGCTGTAAACCCAGTAGGCAGGTGGATCGTGGCTTCTGCACGTCAGGACAGGAGTCTGGGCTGGGCTCAGGCAGCTCTTGGCAGCAAGAAGATTTTCAGGTTGTGGCAGCTAGTGCTGGGTGGAGACAGGTCCCCTGCTAGAACATGCTGCCCCTCTGCAACTTGAAAAGGTGCAATGACGGAGGCCCTGGGAGTTCTTTAAAGATGGAGGACTGATAAGTTTCCTCAGTCTGGGAAGGGAATGGGTGGTTTAAGGGCAACTTCCTCTGGGGTACAGATTACTTTTTGTCCAGGTTCCTCTGAACATAGAACACCTTTCCTTTGTGGGAAGTGGGATTTTCCTGGGTGGGAACAGAGTGAGGCAGGACTGTTCCTCCTGGCAGAGCTGGCTTGCCTCTGGTACCTTCTAGGTTGGAGGCCAGGATCCTGGGCCTTTTTCATTCTTTCTGCCTCTTCCCAGAAGGAACCAAAGAAGAAACAGCAGTTGTCCATTTGCAACAAGCTTTGCTATGCAGTTGGGGGGGCCCCCTACCAGCTCACCGGCTGTGCCCTGGGGTTCTTCCTGCAGATCTACCTGTTGGATGTGGCTAAGGTGAGTCGCCTGAGCTCTCCAGGGTTCCTCCTGCATCCCAAGGTGGGACTCAAGTGGGCAGGTTCTCTCACTTTTCCCCAGTGGTCAAAGAGGACCAGAACTCACTCCTTGGGAGCCTCTCAGGTCACAGTGGTTAGAGAGTGGCCAGGAGGGGTGTCTATCTACTACAGGAATCAGACCTGGCAACTCCTCCTTGCCTGGCAGGAGCAATAGAGCCTGGAGGAATAGGCGGCTGCTATGAGGGAGAATGGGACCCGTTGGTGACGTTGTTCTTAGAAGAGACTGGCACACCATGTCCCTGGCTGGAAAACAGTCAGCTGGCTTGGCTTAGGGTTTAGTGGATGTTGCCAGGCTAGTGGAGAAGCTATACCTCACCTTCACCTGATGAGTGGTGGCATTTTGGTGGGTAGGGAGACCCCAGTACTTGGGGTCTCTGATAGGGAGGGGTGGTTTGGGTGAGGCAGGGCTACTGTGTACTTTGAAAAGCCTTGGCCAGCAGCCTGGCATTCCGAGAATTTATTCTGTCTGGATGAAAGAGTGGGAGACTAAATATCCACGGCTACCACGGTACCCTCACTGGTTCTTTTCTATGTAGCATCTGACTGGGCAAGTGAGACATCTTAGTTGTTTCCATTAGCAGGTGTGGAACACTGAACCTCAAAAAGGACAGATGACTTCATTCAGTAGCTAGTTTTCAAACAATTCCCATAGGTGTGCCCCAAGGGGGCTATAGATAAGAGGAACCTACAGTTAAGTATAAATTGGGCTTGTAGTGTGTGGAGTGAATGTAGGGTGGGGGTCACATTGGGGAGATTACAATGCAAGAAAGGCTGCCAGTTTTCCACAGCAGGGTTTTGACAGCTAGGCATGGTGGCACATGCCTGTAATCCCAGCACTCAGGAGGCTGAGACGGGAGAATAGAGGGTTTAAAGCCAGCCTAGGACCCTGTCTCAAAAACAAACAAATAAAAATCAGGATTTTGATGAATGAGGTTGAAGCCAGAGAATCTATATTTAGAACCTAGAGTGTTTGGAAGGCAAGGGATTGTTTGAGTAAATAGTGACAGGCCACTTTTAATTTTAATTTTTAAAAATATTTTGTTTTTAATTTTTATGTGTATGAGGTTGTTGCCTGCATGTATGTAAGTGCACCTGTGTCGTGCAGGAGGTCAGAAGTAGGTATTGGATCCCCTGGAACTGGAGTCATAGATGGTTGTTAGATGCCATGTAGGTGCTAGGGAACTGAGACAGGGTCCTCCGCAAGAGCAGCCAGTGCCTTTAATTGCTAAGCCATCTCTGGTCCCCACAGGCCACTTTTTAAAGGCAGGCATGTTTAATCTCAGCACTTGGAAGATAGAGGCAGGAGAATCCTTGCAAGTTCAAGGCCAGCCTGGTCTATATACCAAGCTCCAGGCCAGCCAGAACTACAAATGAGCTTCTGTCTCAAAAAAAAAAAAAAAAAAAGAGAGAGAGAGAGAGAAGATGAAAGAAAGAAAGAGCATGTATAGATTCCTTCTTCCATATCCAAGATAAAGCTTGACCTTGTAAAACAGAGACCATAGCCCATAACTCTTAGTACACAGATGAGGAGACTGAGGCTCACTGTGGTTGCCCAGGAAACGCTAGCTCTGGTATCAGGTGGTCAGAGGCTTAGGGCTGTGAGATGGAAGGATGAAAATGATTCTGGATTCATTCTGTTTGATGGGATGTTTTCAAGGACAGTAGAAGGGAGGACAGAGATCCAAGAAAGCTTTGACTCAGTCTTACTCTGATAACACAGTTATCAGAGAATGCTGTGATCATTATTGTTTTTCACAATGTGGGGGAATTGAGCCAAGACCTCATTCATGCTAGGCAAGCTACACCCCCAGCCTTGCTTGGTGAGTGAAGATGTTTAAGGCCAGGTAGGTCTCAAAGGCCTGGCTGCTGCAGGGAGGAAACCCCTGATGAGCTGAGTGGAAGGATGAAGGATGTCTTTCCCTTCTTCCCCATGGCAGGTGCACCCGTTCTCTGCTTCCATTATTCTGTTTGTGGGCCGAGCCTGGGATGCTTTCACTGATCCTCTGGTGGGCTTCTGCATCAGCAAGTCTTCCTGGACCCGTCTGGGCCGTCTCATGCCCTGGTAAGTGGGAGATGCTCTTTCTAAGTGCAAAAGGCCAGGCATTGGTATATCTGCTGCTTGTCCTTTCATCTCCTGTCCCAGACTAGGAGTTGCAGAAAAAGGATGACATAAAAACTGAAAGGTATTGAAGCCCTGAACTGAGGCCTCAGCTGCTCCAGATATGGACACTGGGATACCTAGTCAGTTCACTTTCAGGCTGGCCAAAGTACTGTACTGGTTAACTTCCCTCAATCCCAGGCTTCATGGCTCCCCAAGGTCCACTTACTCCCCTTGGTGAAGCTGGAATCCTTACTTTCTCCACTCATCACGTCCATAGTGGCAAAGGTAGGTCTGCCTGGGTTTGAATGGCAGCTTCACTACTTAAAGCTGTGCAATCTTGAGCAAGTCAGTCAACATCTCCAAGCCATAAGTAAAATGGAAGTAAGGAACTTCTCACAGGGTCATGATGAGGATTTTAAGTACTCAGAACAGTGCCTAGCAGATATTGGTACACTGTTTGGCATTCTTTCAGGGTGGCTGGTGGTAGGGCAGAGGTAGGGGACAAAACTGAGAATGGACTTGCAGATCCATCATCTCCAATACCTTGAGTGAACTATATTTTCCTTCAGTGTTATTCAGCCTCAAGCTGTGGGGCAAGGAGGCGGGGGTGCAGTTTCTGTAGATCAGACAGTGAAGGAGACACACAAGACAGGCCAAGCCTGGGCTCTGGTTCCCTCCAGGACATCCTGCTTCAGGGGTGGGGGGGAGGTATGCCCCTTTCATCTCCAGCCCATCCAAGCTTAAGTGGGCGCCTTCCTGCCCCAGGGGCGCCCATACCTGGTCTCCGGCCTTTCAAAGCTCCTTCAGCAGCCCCAGCACCCCCACGGTTTCCTTTCCCACGAGGCCCCCCACCCATCCCAATCCTGCTAGCCCTTGGCAAAGTCCCAGCTTTGAGCCTTTGATCCAGGCTTCAGGGCTAGGGGGCAGGACAGCCTCCTTTACCTGGGCAAACTGCTCAGGGAGTCCTGAGCCTCAGTCTGTGAGACTTGGCCCTGTGCCTCCTGGCAGCCGGTGGAAGGCGGGGCCTTGCTGCCACATCTCCTCATGAGGCCTAGCCAATGGGAAGCAGCTGCCTGATGCACTGCAGCTCTGGGTTACTCCCAGTCACATTGGGTTCCTGGGCCAGCATCGTTGTTCAGCTGCCTGTAGCAGAGGATAGAGTGTTTGAGGAAGGCTGAGGAGGAGCCCTGTTCTCTGAGGAGATTCTTGGGGCCGGGGGAGGGAGGGGGGGGCAGCAAAGCCTCCCCCGGGGAAAAAAGATCTAAGGATTCTTATTGAGTAGGTGTGGCAGCCACTCTGGGGTGGGAGTTGCTGAGGAACCCCCAGGGTGCTTTCTGGGTAGCGAGTGTCTGTGTATGGGTCCACACACACTAGATGGCTCATGGCCTGAGGGACTCCTGTGTTCATGACATCCTGGGTTATACCTCCTCAAGCCTGGAGACTGGGCATCACTCTGGAAGTATAGGGGGAGGCTGGGCCTATCAGGGTTCCTTAACTCTTAATCCTGTAGCCCATTCTAGTTCCAGGCCTTAGGACACCTCCTGTACTAAGCCACACACCTTCAAACCAGAAAGATGCTGACAGTCATTTTCCCTGGAGTTCCTAAGGCCACTTGTGAGACCCTGTCAGCAGGGTCACACAGAGAGGCTGAGATGTAGCAGGCTGGACCTGAGGTTGATTTCCAGATATCCACAGCCTCCTGGCCATGGCCTGTAGTGGTTCCCATAGGCCACCTCTCATGCTGGGCCTTCCTGATATGATCACAGCAAACATTTTGTCCAAGTACTGTTCAACATTTTCCTGTCAACTGCTTTAAGACTCAAGCCTACTTCAACCCTGTGAAACAGAAGTCCTTATAGTGGCCTGTCAGCGATCCCATTTTCTCTGCATCTTATCTCCTAATTCCATCTCCCTTGCTCACTGTATTCCAGCCCCACAGGCCCTGCTGTTCTTCATCTCTGCCAGCATACTCCTGCCTAAGGACCTTTGCACTGACTGTTCCATGACTGGGCCCACCCTTGGGAGCTCAGACCTCCCTGACTGCATCCAAGTCTTCATCTAGTTATTGCCTTCTCAGTGAGGCCTAGCTAACCAGCCAGCTGTGAATTGCACCCCCTTCTCACTTCTAATTCCTTCTAGCCTGTCTTCTTTCTCTTCTCCATAACACTTGACACCTTTTAACATCTTATCTGTTTTAAAAAACCAGGGCAAGGGGCTGGAGAAATGGCTCAACAGTTAAGAGCACTTAACTGCACTTTCAGAGGACCCAGGTTCATGTTCCAGGACCTACATGGCAGCTAACATGCATCCTTAACTCAAGTTCCAGGGCATCCAATCCCCCCTTCTGGCCTCCACAGGTATCAGTCACACATATGGTGCACTTACCACATGTATATGCAAGCAAAACACTCATACATATAAAATTTAGAAATAGGGGGTTGGAGAGATGGCTCAGTGGTTAAGAACACTGATTGTTCTTGCAGAAGACCCAGGTTTGAATCCCAGTACCTACATAGCAGCTAACAACTGTCCATAACTCCAGTTCCAGGGGATCCGACAACACTCTTCTGACCTCCAAGGGCATTGCATGACTCTGGTACACTTACTTTAAATAAATAAAATCGTTTAAAAAACTGCAAAGTAGATATAGCAATTACTATTTATTTATTTATTTATTTAATTTGTGTTAGAATTTAAATCCAGGCCCTTTCGCTGGTCAGGCAAGCACTCTACAGCCCTGGTCTTGTTGAGACAGGGTCTCAAGTAGTCCAAGCTGATTTTGAATTTCTGATCCTCCTCCTCTGCCTCCTAAGTGCTAAGGTTACAGGCATGTACCACCTGCACCCAGCACAGCCCTTCGTTTTGCATAATCTAGGTTGGCCTTGAACTCATGATATTCCTCCCTCTTCTTCTGAATGCTGGGACTACAGGCCTGGGCTGCCATGCCCAACTTATTGTAACCATTTTTTTCTAAGTGTCCAGTAAAGTAGCATTGAGTGTGTTCACATCTTTGTGTGCTCATTACCACCTTCCCTCCCTGGTGCTTTTTCATATGAGCCCATTAAACTCCAGGCCCCGCTTCTATGCCATTCACCATCCCACCTTCCTTTTTTTTTCTTTTTACCATTTATTTTTATTGGCAGGGGAGGGTGTGCCACAATGTGTGTGTGTGTGTGTGTGTATGTAGGTCAGAGGACAGTTTTTGGGAGTCAGTTCTCTCCTTCCGCCTTATGGATTCCTGGAATTAACTCAGGTTGTTGGGCTTAGCAACAAGCTCCTTTCCCAGCTGAGCCATCTTGCTGGTCTCACCATCCTCATTCTGTTTCTGTGAAGTTGACTCTGAGGATTGGATGGCCTCTTAGATGTTAAATTGTATGATATCTATCTTTTAGGGACAGTCTTATTTCATTTAGCCATTCCTCAGGGTTCATCCACGATGTGGCATTTGTCAGATTTTCATTTTTAAGGCTAAATCATAAATGTAATTTAATTTTTTAAATAATGTAATTTAATTTTTTAAATAACAACTAGAATGTAAGTTCTATAAGGGCAATGGTGTTTTTGTCTTTTTGTTCACTAATACATTTTCAGCAGTTAGAATAGCACCCAGCCTATAACTAACTGGTGCTTAATAAATATTTGGGTAAATGTTAAATATAGGCCATGTTTTTTTTTTTTTTTTTTTGGTCTTTTTGAGACAGGGTCTTCCTGTAGCCCCAGCTGTCCTGGAACTCACTATGTAGACCAGGCTAGCCTTGAGCTCACAGAGATCTGCCTGCCTCTGCCTCCCAAGTGCTGGGATTAAAAGGTGTGCGCCACCACACCTGGCAAGAGGCTGTCAGATCCCCTGGAACTGGAGTTACCGACAGTTGTTAGCTGCCATGTGGATGCTGGGATTCGAACTCAGGTCTTCTGCAAGACAGTCAGTGTTCTTAACCACTGAGCCATCTCTCCAGCCCATATTTTTTTTATTATTTATTTTATGTGTATGCATGTATTGTTTGCATGTATGTAAGTGCACCTGTGTCATGCAGTTCCCCCAGAGGACAGAAGAGGCTATTGGATCCCTGGAACTGGAGTTGCATAGTTGTTAGCTGCCATATGGGAGCTGAGAATTGAACCTAGGTCTTCTGCAAGAGCAGCCAGTGCTCTTAACTGCTGAGCCATCTCTCCAGCCCAACGTATTATTTTTTTTTATTCTTACCTTTACATGGGGAAATGAGTTTCAGAGAGTTAAATAACTTGCCCAAGACTCTGTTTTTACATTTTGATTTATTTGTTTTTATGTATATAAGTGTTTTGCCTGCATGTATGTAAGTTCACCATGTGCATGCAGTGCCTGCAGAGGCCAGGAGGTGTCAGATCTCCTGGAACTACAGATCAGGATAGTTGTTAGCTGCTATGTGGGTGCTAAGAACTGAACCTGGGCCCTCTGTAAGAGCAACAAGTGCCCTTAACCACTGAGTCATCTCTCTGGCCCCTGAGACTAAGGTTTTTGTTTATTTATTTTGGTCTTTTTGAGACAAAAACTCAAAAAGTTTCAGCTGGCCTGAAACTCTTTATGTAGACTAGGCTGGTCTCGATCTCACAGAGATCTAACTCCCAAGTGCTGGGACTAAAGGCATGTGCCATCATACTGGGCTCGAGACTTAAGTTTTGTTTTTTTGTTTTTTTTTTTTTGTCTTGTCTTTTTTGAGACAGGGTCTCCCTGTAGCCCCAGCTGGCCTGGAACTCACTATGTAGACCAAGCTGGCCTTGAAGTCACAGAGATTCTCCTGCCTCTGCCTCCTGAGTGCTGGGATTAAAGGCATGTGCCACCATGCCTGGCTAAGATTTAAGTTTTTATAGTTAATCACGGATCCCAAAAATGTTAACTTATAAGGCCTTTTTTTTTTTTTTTTCAAACATTTATTTCTTCAGTGTGTGTGTCTATACCTGTATGTACCATGGAGTCAGAGGACAACTTGAAGGAGTCAGTACCCCCCTTTTACCGTGTAGGTTCCAGGAATCAATCTCAGTCATCAGGCTTAGCAGCAAGGGCCCCTTTACCCACTGAGCCATCTCACTGGCCCAAAGTCTTCCTCTTAACCTTCACACTCCACTGCATTCCTGTGCTGATGTTGCAAAGTCAGTCCATCCTGAGAAACAACCACTTATGGTAGGTGGGACTCACATGTAGACCACAGACATTTGTCCCCCATCCCCATAATTCTGTGACTAGGTCCAGCATTCTCACATGGCCTCTTTATCTTCCTTCACTCAAAGTTGGCCTCTCTGGATGAGTAATGGTACATGCCTTTAATCCCAGCACAGGCAGGAGGATCTCTGTGAGATTGAGGCCAGCCTGGTCTACATGGTGAATTCCAGGTCAGCTGGGGCTATAGAGAGACCCTGTCTCAAAAAGACCAAAAAAAAGTTTGCCTCTCTGACCCCACTCCATCATCCCTGTGTGTGTGTGTGTATGAGACCACAGGTGCTGGGACTGACTCTTCCTTGCCCTGGAGCTCTTATTGATGCTCAGGATCTGACCTTCCCATGGTTCTTGCTCTCTGACCTTAGTCAGTCCTTCCGGGCATGACTGCCAGTCTCTTCCTCAGAGGTTCTAGGCTGGGAGGATTCAGAGGAGTACTTTCTTCTCCATGGACTGGTGCCCTGTGACTCAGATCTGGACTAGGGATGGGGTGGGCTCCTGGGGTTCTCTAGCCCCCAATCAGACCTTCCTTCCCTCAGGATTATCTTCTCTACTCCTCTGGCTATCATCGCCTACTTCCTCATCTGGTTCGTGCCTGACTTCCCACAGGGGAGGGAAAGTTCTCACAGGTTCCTTTGGTACCTGTTTTTCTATTGCCTCTTTGAGTCACTGGTCACGGTGAGTGTGGGCTTCCTCCCCTTGCTATATGTGGGGCCAGGGGAAAGGGCAATCCCTGGGGTCTCTCTGCATGTCTCTCCATCCATCCAACCTGCTAAGAGCCTCTCTTCCACACCAGTGTTTCCATGTCCCCTACTCAGCGCTCACCATGTTCATCAGCACAGAACAGAGTGAACGGGACTCCGCCACTGCCTATAGTAAGTCCCTTCCCTATCAGCCTGGCTCTGCCCACAGGGAACCCTAGGCCTCTCTGTTCCCAGGACCCCCTGTTATACTTTGTCCCTTGTGGACCCAGCTCTTTGCTCTGCTCGTGGGTGTGGGGGTGAAACCATTTCTTTTTTTGGTGATGGTGGGGCTTGAATCCAGAGCTTCTTGTCTGCTAAGCAGTCACGTAATCCTTGAGCTACATCTCCAGCCTATGCAACCATGTTAAAGATAACTCAATCCCTTTATTGCTCAAGTGAGACCCAGATATGTACAGGAACTAACCTGAAGATCACACAGAGCAAGGCTGTGAGTTGTAGGCTAAGGTGTCATCTGTCCTATTCCCTAACTCAGCTCCCTTGGAGCTAAGAGCTGGGGTTCCATCCAACTGACCTTCCTCTTAAGCCTACAAACCATGAGACCCATCTAAAAAGAACTTTTCCTGCCCAGGGATGACTGTGGAGGTGCTTGGCACAGTGATAGGCACAGCAATCCAAGGACAAATTGTGGGCCAAGCCAATGCGCCTTGTCTCCAGGACCAGAATGACTCTGCAGTGGCCTCAGAAAGTGGCAATCGCACACATAGCACCACCTCCCTCAAAGAAACGGTGAGGTCCCTGGCAGGGCAGAGATTTGTGGGGGAGAACGATGGAGTGCTTTGTAGTCATCCTGAAGTAATAATAGTAACTACTATTTATTAATTACTGGGCTTTTCTTTTTTTTTCTTTTCCTTTTTTTTTTTTTGGTCTTTTTGAAACAGGGTCTCCCTCTAGCTCCAGCTAGCCTGGAACTCACTATGTAGACCAGGCTGGCTTTTGAACTCACAGAGATCCACCTGCCTCTGCCTCCCAGGTGCTGAGATTAAAGATGTGCACCACATGCCAGGCCATGATTTCTGGGCTTTTGATAAAAGTAAATATCAGCACATATGTTACACCCACTTTATAGACAAGTAAACTGAAGCCCGGAGAATTTGAGTAATTTGCCCAGGGTTCCAGTGACTTTTAGAGATTGGGAAAGACTTGAACTGTGGGTTTACACGCTTCATAGCCTGGCTATGTAACATTCTGTACACCTGAACTTGGCCCAGCTTTGAGAAGCAACAGCAGGCCAGGATGACCCTCCTGGTTCACAGATGGAGACAGTGTGGCCCCCACAGGAGAAGGGCCTGGCCTGAAATCGTGGAGTGGGGCTACTGGGATGAGATCAGACTGACCGTGTCTCTGTATGTCATAGCAAAATGCATACCTGCTGGCAGCAGGGGTCATCGCCTCCATCTACGTTGTCTGTGCGGTCATCCTGACACTAGGTGTGCGAGAACAGAGAGGTGAGAAGGACGTGGGAAAGGGACAGCCCAGGGGCAGCTGTCCCTCTCTGGCCCTCAGGCTTTGAGATGCTTTTCTGCTCTCATTATCCTCTCTGGTCCTCAGAACCCTACGAGGCCCAGCAGGCTGAGTCAATGTCTTTCTTCCGGGGCCTTCGACTAGTCATGAGTCATGGCCCATATGTCAAGCTCATTGCCGGCTTCCTCTTCACCTCCCTGGCTTTCATGGTGAGTGGAGGGCCTGGGGTGCTCGGCCTGAGAGGCGGTATAATGGGAATGGGGTTGGAGAGGACTTGAACTGTGATGAAGCTGAGGGACAGGTGGAAGGGAGTGGGGTGAGTAGAGGTCTCTGGAGCCTCCAAATAACTTCCTTTCTTTTCTTTGTCCTGCCCTGCCCCATCCCCCAGCTGGTGGAGGGAAACTTTGCCTTGTTTTGCACCTATACCTTGGGCTTCCGCAATGAGTTCCAGAATCTACTTCTGGCCATCATGGTGAGTTTGGACCTGAAGGTGGGTTGGTGTAGCGTAGATGTGGGATGGTTCTTTGGACAGTCAGAGAATAACTTCTGGCTGGTCCCTAATCATGAAAGGACGAGGGAGGATGCCCAAAATGTTTTCTTAGACATTGCCTACAATTACTTGGGAAGGATTATGAAGGAAAAATTTGAGGTTGGATGATTAGTGAATATAGCAATGGCAAAGATGGGGGTGCCAACAACTCGGCAACTCTGCACTCAGAGGTGTGAAAAGATAGGACTGCTTACTCAGCTCCCCTGGGAGCCAGCAGACATGCCTGTTAACTTCCTCACTTCCCATGGTAGCCTGAGAGCATTTCTGGGGGCTTGGGAAGGGTAGAAGGGACTCTGAAGCAATAACCCACTTCTTTTGTCCACCCACAGCTTTCGGCCACATTTACCATCCCCATCTGGCAATGGTTCCTAACCCGGTTTGGCAAGAAGACAGCTGTATATGTTGGGATCTCAGTGAGTGGGGTCCAAGGGGTAGAGCTTGGGTCGAGTCGGGGGTTACAAGGAGGGCCTCCCAGCTGACCCATCTTCCTGTACTCTTTCCTAGTCAGCGGTTCCTTTTCTCATCTTGGTGGCTATCATGAAGAGTAATCTTATCATCACTTATGTGGTGGCCATAGCAGCCGGTATCAGTGTAGCAGCTGCCTTCTTACTACCCTGGTAGGTATATGCAGGCTCACTGCGTAAAGTCACCAGCCTACCACGCGCCCCCCGCAGCCGGGGAGATTTCTTGGGTGACTTCTCCTCCTGCAGGTCTTTCTGTGGATCTAGGATAGGGTAGATCTGCTCCAAATTCACCCCTAGCTTCAGCTGCTAAGCAGAGCATCTAAAATTGGACTCATTTTGATGGATGGGACTTGTTCTTAATCACATGAAGGGCCATCCCCTCACTGAACTGTATACCATGTCACGTCAAGCTCCCAGAAGGAGCCTGGTGGGTAGGTAGAGGATACTCATGGCTTCTACCACCCACTCTGCACAGGTCCATGTTGCCTGACGTCATCGATGACTTCCACCTGAAGCAGCCCCACACCCCTGGCACTGAGCCCATCTTCTTCTCTTTCTATGTCTTCTTCACCAAGTTTGCCTCTGGAGTCTCATTGGGTATTTCTACTCTCAGTCTGCAGTGAGTTGGGCAGGAGTCTGGGGTAAGACTGGGGGCAGGGGCAGAGTTGAAGCACCCCATCCTCACCTCCTCTGCCCACTGGGTCCCACAGCTTTGCTGGGTACCAGACACAGGGCTGCTCCCAGCCAGCACAGGTCAAGTTTACACTGAAGATGCTGGTGACCATGGCTCCCATCGTCCTCATCCTGCTGGGTCTACTGCTTTTCAAGCTGTATCCCATCAATGAAGAGAAGCGACGGCAGAATAAGAAGGCCCTGCAGGCTCTTCGGTGAGAGCTGGGCGTGGTTTACCCATCTAAGATCTCAACTTGTACCACTAGCGGATAAATCCAAATAGTTCCAATGCTTAGCTACAAGCTAGACATTTCATTGACTGCTCTCACATGCATTCACTAAATACCACACACTTCCTGATTTCCTACCACGTGCCAGCATTGTGGGAGAAAAAGAGAAAAACTCTCCCGAAGGAGCTTGTGTTCAGGAACGTGCTTTGATTATCAACATCATCTCCCAACAAGCTGACCCTAGGCATCTGAGATTTAATTTTTTATTTTAATTTCATTTTATTTTTTTTTTGAGACAGGGTCTCCTTGTAGCCCCAGCTGACCTGAACTCACTATGTAGACCAGGCTGGCCTTGAACTCACAAAGATCCTCCTGCCTCTGCCTCCCAAGTGCTGGGATTAAAGGCATGCGCCACCACACCCAGCTATTTTTTAATGTTTTTTTGTGTGTGTGTGTTTTGAGATAGGTGCTCACTATGTAGCCGTGGCAGTACTAGAACTCGATATATAAACCAGGCTGCCATCAAATTCACAGAGGTCCACCTGTCTCTGCCTCCTGAGTGCTGGGATTAAAGGCATGTGCCACCATGCCCAGGCCTTTTTTTTTTTTGAGACAGGGTCTCATGTAGCCAAAGTTGGTCTCATACTTACTCTGCAGCTGAGGCTGACCTTGAGCTCTTGATCTTTCTGGCTCCTCCTGAGTGCTGAGATTAGAGCCACCCCCATGGCAAGATTCATAGGATTTCTACAGATGAAGAAACTGGGGTTTAGTCAGGAAGTATGGATAAAGCTTTGAGCCCTGGCCCATATTCGAGGTACAGCCTGCACTCTGCTGCCTTTCTGGCACACAGGCCTTCGGGCGTGGCCAGAGATGATAGGGCAGGGTAGAATGAGTTATGCCACCATGTCGGCCACCTGGCCAGTGAGGCTCTGAGGTTTGTGGTGCCCTTCATACAGCAAGAACAGCAACCTGCAGTTTCTGGGTCAACAGTGGGAATGAGCAAACTGTCCTGTGGTTTAGACAAGACTGACAGATGGCTTGGACTCCAGGCCAGGATTCCCGAGGCAGGAGGCAGGTAGCAGCGGAGGAGGGTAAGGCTGCTTCCTTCACCCTATCTTCTCTGACTCTGACAGAGACGAAGCCAGCAGTTCCGGCTGCTCAGACACAGACTCCACAGAGCTGGCCAGCATTCTCTAGGATCTGCTGTGCTTCCTGAAGCCACCACACAGAGGGCCTGGGGCACATGAGGCACTGGGATCCGTTAGCCCATGCGCTAAACAGCCATTCTTCCTGTGCCAAGACGGGGATCAAGGACTGGAGGGGAGCGGCCCAGGACATCTTGCTCACTGAAGGGCTGGCCGCTCTGTAGCCTCTGCCTCCCCACAGCCCACCCTCTGGGTCAAGCCCTAGGGCTGCTACTGTGAATATGCCAAGGACTGGTCCGGCCTAGCTCGGAACACTAATGTAGAAACGTTTTATACAGAGACTAATTAATAACTTAATGACTTATGTACATAGTGATGTGTGTATATGTGTATGTCTATGCTATTAATGTTATTAATTTTCATAAAAGCTGGAAAAACCGAGCTGCGTGGTTCCATTTATGTCCTCAACCATTTATGGAGCCCTTTGCGGCAAGAGTCAATCAATGGACACACTAAACCACAGGTGCAAATGGGTGGGGAGTGTGTGTCTGAGGGTATGATAACAGCCTTGTCTAACATTTACTGATTACCTCTTCTGTACCAGGCACCTTCTACTGGCTTTGAATGCATCTCGTGGTGTTCTCATTTAACCCATGAAACCGCTGTATCAGGGCAGGATTGTCCCTCTTTGAAAGATAAGAAAACTGAGCTCCAGCATAGAAAGGGACGTGGCTAAAGCTACACAGAATGACCTAAGCAGAAGGCCATCCCACCTCTAAAAGTGAGACTGAGTACCTTAACCACAACTCTCCCTGCCTCTGTGTATGAGAACAGCTGGGGAATTGGCAGGCCACAGTTGCTCTGCCCACTGCCCTGTGCATGCCTGAGCCTATGGGAGTGACAGTGCTAGGGCAGACTGTGACTGGGGCTCTGTGGTATCCCTGGCGAGGCTTGTCATTTTTTTTTTTAGAAATTTTTTATTATTTTTATTTTATGTGTATGCGTGTATTGCCTGCATGTATGTGAGTGTGCACCCATGTCATGCAATGCCCACAGAAGTCAGAGAGGGGGTCAAATACCCTGGAACTGAAGTTTTAGCTGCCATGTGGGTGCTGGGATTCAAACCCAGGTCTTCTGCCAAGAGCAGCCAGTGCTTTTAACCACTGAGCCATCTCTCCAGCCCTGAGACCTGTCATTCTTATCCCACAATTGTTATTACTAATGTTGAAGGTAGAAAATGTATCTGTCTAAATGTGGGTGTCAGATGAGGGTAGATCTCAACTCCAGTGGGGGGAAGGCCTAGTTGTAGTGCTTGTCCATTCCTGTGGTACAAACATTCCCACTATAGCCAATTCAAATTACCCTGTAAATTCCTGAGAACTTAATAATTGGCTCTCACGAACTTGTAGGGTTGCCCTACCATACCACTGGGTTGCCCACACCCAAGTCAGGCTCCAAAAATCTCAGGGACGTAAAGCTGGCAGGATCAGGAGTGACTAATCCAACCTTTTGTTTTATGAACAGATAAATGAGACCTAGCGAGAAGTCCTGAGACTCTTTGGGCTTGGTTTAACCCATGACTGTAAGGCTTCATTATTATGAATAAACTTCTGCCAAGTCACTTTCTTACAAGTTTCATGAAGTGTTTCCAACAGGCACTGTGACATGTGTTCATAAATATACTAATTCAATTAGTCTCTGTATGTTCCCAATGAGGAAGTTACTGTTATTATTCTGTTTTACAGATAAGGAAACCTAGGCATAGGGAAGTTAAGTAACTTGCCAAAGGTCAGTAGCTAGTAAGTGGAGAGATTGGTACTTAAGTTCAAGCTGTTTGGCTATAGGGCCTGTGCCTTTAATCACTACTTAAGTCACATAGACCAAGAGTTTGGTCCTCTCAAGCCACTCCCATTGCCCTTATAACTGCCATCTCTAGTCAGGCTGCCTGGGTAAGACAGGAGCCAGGGGTTTGGGCTGGCCCCCGCATTTGGAGTACTCAGGGACTTTGACAATGTTTATAGAGGCCCACTCATTTTCCCCTCCCTCAACTCTGACAGCCACCAAGGCTGTGCATGTAGTTCAACAGTAGAGCACTTGCCTACCATGCATAAGGCCCTGGGTTCAATCACCAGCACTACAAAACAAAAGCATAAAACTAAACATTTCCAAACCGTGCAAGTCTGCTTTTCTATTCCTATAATTATTTCTCAAGTCTTTTCTTACCTGTATTATTGCATCCATATTTTAACTGGTCCCTGTCTTTGACTGGCTCTCCTCACATTCCCTCTGAAAACCATGCAGAAGCCCTCGGGGAGTCTCTATGGCTTTTAGGAGGGAGACTGATGCCCTGCCAACCTCCTCAGCCTAAGCTGTAGATATGGCCCTTTTCCCAGGCTGCCTCCTGACCCTGACTACACTCTTGCTTCAGCTGTACCTGCAGGTGTCATCCCACATGTCTTAGCTCTAACAAGCCTCTTTGAGGTAGTTCCAGCCCCTCTGTTCCCTAGGCCAGTTCCAGAGCCCTTGGCCTCCCCACCCCCATCATGGTCTTCTACACACAGCCCAAGGCCAGGCATGGTGGGGGTGGGGCGGGCTTGTGGAACTGAATGAATGAGAACCAAGTGGAAAATGCTTAGGTTTGGAGCTGGAGTTCCTACTGACCCACTAGTATGTTCCTGTCTGGATATCAGTTTCTCCAAATATTCTATGGAGATTTAGATTGACAACTCTTGCCTCTCTTCATTTCCCATTCGCAGAAAATTGCTTTCTACTTCAAATGCCCGTTGAGTTTGTAGCCGGTGATTTACCAGATAGGGAAAGAGAGAAAGTGATCTAGGATTCCAGAAATCCTTTTGGGTCATTGGCTACCCCAGGTTCTTTCTGGACCACTCACACTTCTCCATCCTTTGGGAGACATGCCATTTGACTCCTTCTACCTTGGGTCCAGCATTACTGTATCAAACTGTCTCTCCTCCTCCTTGCCTGGGTCCAAGCCCTCTGACCTATACACGCCCCCTCAAAGCCCACCAAAACCCGGTGTGGTTTTGGCGCCACCTGCTGGAAGATAAGATCAAGAACTCAACATTACCAAAAAAAAAAAAAAAAAAAAACCTGATCACTCATTGATCTGGGATTATTCCATTGATCTTAATAGATATTTCCAATGAGTCTGCCATGTCATAGAGCTTGCCTGGTGGATGCCCATGAAAATAGACAAATAGATAAATAAGAATTTCAGAATGCAGGGCTGGCAAGATGGCTGAGCTGGTAAAAGTACTTGCTCCCAAGCCTGATGACCTGAATTCAATCCTTAGGACTCACATGGTGGAAGGAGAGATTCAAATCCCACAAGCTCTTCCTCTGACCTCTACACACATACCATGGCATGTGCCCCCCCCACACACAACACAAATAAATAAATGTAATAATTTTTTTTTTTTTTTGGTCTTTTTGAGACAGGGTCTCCCTGTAGCCCCAGCTGTCCTGGAACTCACTGTGTAGACCAGGCTGGCCTTGAACTCACAGAGATCCTCCTGCCTCTCCCTCCCAAGTGCTGGGATTAAAGGCGTGCGCCACCGCACCCAGCTGTAATAAATTTTTTTAAAGAATTAGGCTGGAGAGATGGCTCAGTGGTTAAGAACAGTCACTGGTTGTTCTTGCAGAAGACCCAGGTTCAAATCCCAGCACCAATATGGCAGCTAACAACTGGAGGGCCTTGCCACACGAGTGCACTTACCTACATGCAGGCAATACATGCATACACATAAAATAAAAATAATAAATAAAATATTTTTTAAAAAAGAATTATAAGGAGCTGGAGAAATGGCTCAGTAGTTAAAGAGTTCTTGATGCTCTTCCAAGGGACTCAAGTTTGATTCTCAGCACCCACATTGGGCAGCTCACAACCACCTGTAACACCAGGTCCCAAGTATATGATGCCCTCAGGTGTCCATTGGCACCCCCACACAGGGCACAGACACACAGACACAAATAAAATCTAAAAAAAAAAGAATTTCAAAGCTGGAGAATAGTTAAGAGCACTTACTGCTTTTCCAAAGGACCTAAGTTTGGTTCCCAGGACCCACATCAGGTCGCTCACAACCACCTGTGCCTCCAGCTCCAAGAGATGTGTTGCCCTGCTCTGACCTGTGTTGGCACCTGCACACTTGTGGCATTCACTCATATAGGTACACACACATAAATAAAAATAATAGAAATAAATCACTATCCTGGTATAATGGTGCATGCCTTTAATCCCAGCACTCAGGAGGCAGAAGCAGGCAGACCTCTGTGAGTTTGAAGCCAGTATGGCCTACATAGTGAGTTCCAGGCCAGCCAGGGCTACATAGTAAGACCCTGTATCAAACAAACAAAAACAAAAAACTTTAAAAATTCAGACTGTAGCTGGGTGTGATGGCACATGCCTTTAGTCCCAGCACTCAAGAGGCAAAGACAGGTGGATCTCTGTGAGTTCAAAGCCAGCCTGGTCTACATAGTGAGGTCCAGGCCAGCTGGGGCTACATGGAGACCCTGTCTCAAAAAAAAAAAAAAACCCCAAAAAATCAGATTGTAATAAACACACGAGAAAAAAATAAGTGAGGCAATGTGATGGAGGGAACAGTGTGAAGGCCACTTATAGGCAGGTGGTCAGGAAAATGCCCTGAAACTATGATATTTGACGTAAGTGAGGAAGGAGGAGAATTAGCCAGATGTTCAAAGAGCAGCAGGGAAGCAGCTACTCCAACCCTGAGCTGCAAAAGAACTTGGTGTATTTGAAGGACAGAAAAAATAGTACAGAACAGAAGGAGCTAGAAGGTGGGTGGTCTGAGCAGAGAGGAGAGAGAGAGAGATGGAGAGAGAGAGACAGGGAGAGATGAGAGAGAGATGGAGAGAGATAGAGAGAGATGAGAGAGGAGAGAGAGAGAGAGAGAGAGAGAGAGAGACCCAGGAACTAGACCCTCCAGAATCTTAAATCAATCCTTCCTTCCTTCCTTCTTTCCTTCCTTCCTTCCTTCCTTCCTTCCTTCCTTCCTTCCTTCCTCCCTCCCTCCCTCCCTCCCTCCATTCTTTCTTTCTTCTTGTGCATCAGGTCTCCCTCTCCAAGCTCTGGGCTGAGCCATTGATCTTCATGTGAGAGATTTTGCACCCCTGCCTCACACCATAGTTCTCTGGAGACTTGCCCACCCAGACCCCTACCCCATTTGGGTTGAGAATTTTTTAATTTTATTTTGAGAGCAGTCAAAATGCCATTGAAAACATTTAAACAGGAAAGCAATTTGCATTTGCAAAGGAAGTCAGCTGTGTCCAGACTACTGCAGTAGAGAGGGATAAACACTGAGCAGAAGACAGTGCAGGGGAAACTTGGGTGGGTGGGGCAGCAAGCATCCCGCATCACCTGCTCAGGTGTTCCTCAGTGTGGACCTAACAATCCTGCCTCCTTC